GTCAACAGACGATGCGTTAATAAGTTATAGGGTTAGAAAATAGGGTTAGGATTGGGGGATGTGATATTTTGCCATGGCAACGGCTTGGAATTATCACAAAATTCAAAAATGCATTTAGATCCAGATTCTACTCAACACTGCAAACTGTCTGTAGAAAGATCAGTGACCCTATGCTAGAATGAGTGGATGACAAATCAAAACACAGAATAGCTGCCCACTTGTATCGACCCCCAAAGATTATAACTGGTAATGAGATACGAGGTACGGTACATTATGTTTCATTCACTCCAATCTATGTGTACAGGAAACCAGCAAGCCAGATGTAGCGACTAAACAGGTTGTTGCACTCTATGACTTTACTGGACAACAGGAAGGTGATCTCAGCTTTAAGCAAGGAAATATTATCACTGACGTCAGGGAGGGTAAGTACTGAGTGTAGTATACACCATACCACCGTATGTGTAAGGTTGTCTGGTTCTATAACCGTTATTTATGTAAAGTGTATTAATTAATATGCATGAATATCAATATTTACTGTTTTTGTCAGCGAAATTTTTTTTACTGTAACTGATTTGAAACAAGGGACAAAAATCCTTCAATTAACTTTATAATACTTTTAACTTCATACTGACTTTGTTCTTGCAGTTGATGAAAACTGGTATGAAGGTCAGCTACATGGTAACACTGGACTAATCCCTAAGGGATATGTTGAGGAGTGTGCCTTGCCGCCACCACCGCCACCGAATAATGCAGAACACAGCTCACTGCGATCTCCCTCAAGACCTAAATCTTGGCATACTTCAACTGAAGAAAGTCCAACATCATTTGGAGCATTGATGAAGGAATTGAAGACGGCTACAAACAGGAGATCAGTTTACTTAGATGATAAATCGTGATGTTCGCAAACTTACACTCTGAAACATAGAGCACATTAGGCACTTGTGGAATACTGAATTTACTGAAGATTGTACCAGTGTTTACCCAGAGAAACATTAATAACATGTATTATTATACATCTGTCACCATAACGCCATAAGTTACAACGTGTCATAATTTTGTGGGGTATTTTCATCCTAGCATATTAGGAAATGTGAATTCTAAATATGGAATGATTATGCGCGTAAGTGTAAACAAACATGCCAGCCACCAGGGTTTGACCGGACTCCACACAAAGAAGTTCGCTGATTCTGTTCTAAACTTTTTGGATTTTGGCATTCCCATGATGTATCCTTGGAAGGAAAAGATGTATAAGAATAAGGTTATTACGAGGATACCGCAAAGTATGCACTCAGACATTACGCTGTCGCATCGATCTCTGCTGTGCGTTGGCCGATACTCCAGCTGTACTGTCTTCGTGCATACTTTTTGGTATCCTCGTAATAACCTCATATACTTATGATTTTGTTTTGTTTTAACACAGTTTTAACAGTATGTTATATTTCAATGAAATAAATAATGCATACAAGGATTTATAAGATGAAGGTATATGCAATAAAGATCTTACACGAATTGAACAAGTCACCCAAATTGTGAGGTGAAACTTACATGTCTAGAGATCTTAATGCAAATTAGTGAGTCAGTGAAAGCGCTGTTTGTCTCAGACCATTTTTATAAGTTCTAATTTCATATAAATAATGTCGACTAGAATGTGACGAAGTGATCACCACCCTTAACCTTTACACCACCAGACGTTCTCGTGCACATATTTTTCTGTCCTTTTTTCTTGTGTTTTTCAGTATTTCTAGAAATGAACCGTAATTTTGGAGCCAACAGACAGGCTATTTTTGTCCCAATCTTCTTAAGGAAAGTGCAGACTATAAATGGAACTATTTTTGAATATGGTGAAAAGGCTAACAAAAAACTTTGGGTATTCAAACTACTTTTTGAATTATGAACCATTGTTGTATTTTCAATTCCAAAATAGCTGCCAAAGTAGTGCTTTATGGGAAATCACAAAGACATGGATACCATTCACATTTTATTGGCTTTCTTCTATTTTTTTTATGAAACCTTTTAAAATTTGTAGTGCTTTTAATATTTTACGCACTTTTAATAGTTGTGTGTTTTAAGTACCAATATTCAACAAAATTATAATTTACAGAATGAATTTCAAATTTACATGGATTCTTTGATTGTTTAAAGATTTTGTTGATTGGTATCAAATCTGTGAAACAAAGAGTAGGTCCGTAGATTTGTTACTATAGCAACAATAATTTTAGTCCCTCACATGGTTAAAACTTATATTTCAAGTTGGTTACTCCTATTTTCATTTGGGAGGGGGCATCGATTGAGTAATATTTACTCTACTTAATGTTCTGTTACCATAGAAACAAGTTCAATGACCTCTTCTTTATAAATTATTTTTTGAATATACCAATTATTCCCCAAAGTTTGGTGCAATCTTCATGGATAATCCTTAGTATTTAACTTTGAATTATAAGTACTGCCACAGTCCCTCAACATGAATAGACTTTATTTAGTGGTAAGAATTATAACTATTTATCAATCTAATACCAGCAATCAAGAGAAGTTTTACTAATTATTTATTCAATAAAATAAGTTCATTGAAAACATTTTCACACAATATTATGCATTATTATATTATTCCTTATAAATTGAGTTAACAACATTTAAAGATGAGCTATACAGTGTACTAAACTTGGCTTCACATTGCCTGGTTATTTCTATCCTCATTTATATGTACAAGTATCGGTGTAACCAGGCACATTGGTCACCATACATGTATGATGCAAGTTTTCGTTGTTTAAATCAGTGACTATCAGGTGTTACTGCCTCTTGCAGAAGTCTCATTCTTTTTTTTAACCTGCTTGACTTTGCTTCTTCCTCATTTACCATCCTTATTAACTCCTCGGGCATCTTCTTTTTTGAGGCATAGTACGGCAACAACTTCTTTTTTGCAACAAGTTTTTTACAGTTTTGAATCGCCTGCAATATATATTCAAGTTTCCAATGTTTTTGCAACAGGGCGTGATCCAAAGTAAATGGACCCTGTCTGGTTCTCCGTACACTGGTGGCCACAGCCGAGGACTTCATTTCAAGACCAAGCTCGTGCACCGTTTTTCGTAAAAACTGTCCATGTTCTTTAAGGCACTCCATCTCTGGGTAGGTATGGAAGGAGAAAATAGAAATAATGTTAATTGAAGCTTGGCGGTAATATTTTATGTTCTGTGAAAAACGTTAAAGTGCATGCCTGATGTTGCTAATTTCTCTAATTTTGATGAATATTTTTGTCATTTTTGGTAAAAAGTGTTATTTTTGTCTTCTTGTTAAAAACCACAAGTCTGATTGCTTTGATATTACATATATAGGTACTACATGTGGACTTCTTTCAGATTTGTTCATTTCGTGATGATATCTTTAATTCTCTAATTTTCATGAATATTTTCGATTTTCAACTTCTGTTAAAAACCGCAAGTCTAATTGCTTTGATATTATATATACTATATAAGGTACTACTGATAGACCTCTCTCAGATTTGTTCATTTCATGATGATTTTGTTCTTCAATTATCTAATTTTCATGAATATTTTTTGATAAAAAGTCTGATTGCTTTAATACTATACATATTGTTCATTTTCTAATGATATCTTCAGTTCTTTAATTGCAATGTGCATTGATAACATCAGAGCTATCTCAGCCGACAGGCTGCTAGTTTTTACATCTCATAATTATTTAATGAGGTAAATGCCATCAAAAACGCATTTGACACCAAAGTTGTTCAACCATGTTTTCAGGACATGATTGCTACATTGTTGCTGTGTGCAACGTGAAAGAGAAATTCTGAAATAATAACCATAGTATTACCTATTGTAAAATGTGGCTTGTCAAAGTGAATACATTTCATTCGTATGATGAGAGGCGGAGAGTCTACCGCTGGTCTCAGCATCCCCCTGACTGCTAGCTCATAGGCTGCTTGGGATTGCATCTCAACGCCTGAAAATCTGAAATTGACAAGAAGAAATTGACATGTGTCACGGTGCAGAAATCTAGAGGGCATTGTTCCCTTGCACGGTGTTGTTCCATTCAAACATTCACGAGAGTGGCGTGCTTTGCTGGAACATTCACCTTGAAAATTCAAGATGCTAGTCATTAAATGATTTGTAAATTGTGTTAGCTACATTGCCTGTATAAAATTTGTGTCCTTGCAACAAACTACCATGAATTCCATCGTCATAGTGACTATATGTACTATTATGTTGAATTTTAATCTGGAAAAACAATTAACTCATACAACACATGATGTTCAACACTCAACTTGCAAACCACAGATGCAAGACGCAAATTACTACTCACATCTCATTGATAACAAGGGTACCTCTTAAATTTCATGCTTTCTCATCATGGCGTTCACTTTTCTAAATACTATGGTTACATCCAACAGTGGACGCTATGATG